GTTGTGGCTCTTATTTCTCTAGAATATTTACATAGTAGTGGGGTGGCTGGGTTATATGGTATTTCCATTTCTGACTGTTTGAGGACATTCCATACTGTTTTCTACAGGGAGTGCACTATTTTTCAGCCCCACAAGTATATGGGGGTTCCAGTATCTCCACAGCCTATCAGCTTTTGCTGTTTTTTCTTTTTTTTTTTTTTAACTGTGTTATTAATGCTGAGATGAGACGATACCTCACTGTGGCTTTGATTTGCATCTTTCTAATGGCTAGTGTTTTCAAACATTTCTTCATATATTTGTTGACTGACTGAACATCTTCTATTGTGAAATGTCTATTCATATAATTTGCCCATGTTTTAATTGAACTAGTTGTCTTTTTCTTGTTCAGGTGTTGAAGTTTTCAATAAATTTTAGAGGCTAGTTTTTTTCTGATGAGTCATTGCCACACACACACACACAAATCTCAGTCTGTGGGTTCTCTTTTTAATCTTCCGGTCAAATTTTTTGATGCACATGAGTGTCTAATTTTTAGGAATTCACAGTCATCTGGTTTGCCTTCTTCTGTTTGTGTGTTTTATTTATGTTTGATAGTGTACTTACTCATGTATCAGAGCCCTTAAGTTCATCCCCATTGTTTCATTGATGGTCTTTATAGTTCTAGGTTTTACATTTAGGATTTTTGTTCATCTTGAGTTTGTTTTTGTGAATAGTGTGAGATATTGATCTTGTTTCATTCTTTTGTATATGGATATCCAGATGTTGCAGCCACATTTGCTAAAGAGAATATCTTTTTTCCATGTTTCTGCCCATTTTAAGAGACCAGGTGGGTGAATGTTCTACTGGTTATTCAATTCTGTTCCATGATCTATGTATTTGACGACTATGACTATGTAGGCAACTTTGAGATCAGGAATGAGAGAGGACTCTTACTTTGTTGTTCTCCTTTAGTAATGCTTTCCTTACACAGGGTATATTTACTTTCCATACAAACTTGGTGTTTAATTTTTTCAATCTCTTTAAATAATGGTGTTGGAATCTGGAATGGGATTGCATTATATTTGTAAATATTACTTTGGGTACTATTAACATTTTCACAATGTTAAGCCTATCAAATAGCATGATATATTCTTCCTTTTATGTGAGTCTCTTATTTTCTTGTGGCAGTGTTTTGTAGTCTTCTTTGTATAGGTTTTTGTTTCTCTGGCTAGATTTATTCCTAAGTATTTCATCTTTCACCAGGGCTGTATTTTTTCACCAGATTTATTCCATTTGTATGCAGAGGAAATATTCTGAAAACTAGATTATATGCAGAAAAGTGTGCCATCAGGATTGTTGGAAGACTCATTAACAACCTGCGACATGCAGATGACAAAACTTTGCTTGATGAAAGTGAAGATAACTTAAAATACATACTGATGAAGATCAGATAAGAGCCTTCAGCATGGATTGTACATCAATGTAAAGAAAACAAAAATCCTCATCACTGGACTAATAAATAACATCATGATAAATGGAGTAAGATTGAAGTTGTCAAAGATTTCATTTTGCTTGGATCTACCATCAACACTCATGAAAGCAGAGTCAGGAAATCAAACTACATACTATACTGGGGAAATGTGCGACACAAGACCTCTTTAAAGTGTTCATGAGCAAATACACCAGTTTGAGGGCTAAGGTGCACCTGACCTAAGACATGGTATTTCCAATGGCCTCATATGCACATAAAATTTGGACAATTAATTAGGAAGACTGTAGAAGAACTGATGCATTTGAGTTATGATGTTGTAGATGAATATTGAAAATATCATGGACTGCCAGATGAACGAACAAATCTGTCATGAAAGAAGTGCAGCCAGAATGATCCTTAGAAGTGAGGATGGAGAAATTTCATCTTTGGACATGTTTTCATAAGAGATCAGTTCCTGGAAAAGGACATTATGCTTGGTAAAATGGAGGGTCAGTGAAAAAGAGGAAGACACCCCCCCTCCCCCCAATGGGATGGATTGACACCTTGGCAGCAGCAGTGGGCTTAAGCATAACAACCACAGTGAGGATGGCTCAGAACTGGGCAGCATTTCATTCTGTTGGGCATAGGATCATTATGAGTCAAAACAAACTCTCTAGCACTTAACCAACAACATTTTAAATGGTATCATTGTCTTGATTTCCTTTTCAGAGTTTTCTTTGTATAAAGGAATCCAGCTGATGTTTGCATGTTGATCTTGTAGTCTGTCTCTTGAATGAGTCTTTCAATGAGTTCCAATACTTTTTTGCGGCATCGCTAGAATTTTCTGTGTAAAGAATCATATCATCTGCAAATAGAGAATTTTTCTTCTTCTTTGCCAATATAGATGCCTTTGTTTATTTTTTTCTTGTCTTATTATTCAGGCTTTGACTTCCAGCAAAATATTGAATGTTGTTGTTGTTGTTGTGAAGTGCCGTCGAGTCAGTTCCGACCCATAGCGACCCTGCTATAGAGTTTCCGAGGAGCAGCTGGTGAGCTTGAACTGCCACCCTTGCAGTTCAAACGGCTTTGCAGTCTGGCACATTAACCCACATCACCACACCAGTACTCCAAAACATTGAATAATGTCCTATATAATGTCCTATATCAAGTCTCCTATTCAATATTCAATAATTATATAGGCCATTCTTGTCTGGTTCCAGTTCAAAAGAGGAATGCTTTCCATTTCTCTTCACTGACAGTAATACTGGCCATTGGTTTTGCCTATATGTCCTTAATTAAGCTGAGAAATTTCCCTTCTATTGCTATTTTGTTGATTGTATTTATCTTAAATGGTGTATTTTGTCAAATGCATTTTCTGTGTCACTTCATATGTTGATGTGATTCTTTTCCTTCGCTTGATTTATGTGGTGGGTTAGGTTTTTTTTGTTTTTTTAATATTGAACCATTTTTACATTTCTTGTATGAATCACACTTTCCATAATTTTTTAATCCATTTTTCCTGTGAACTTTTTGAAATCCCTTGTATTTACTGAACATTTTCCTGTGTTTCATGCCTCTAAATATATTACACACAAAGTTGGTTTCAACTGCAAGGTCACCAGTTCAAGTTCACCAGCTGCTCCTCGGAAACCCTGTACAGGGTTGCTATGGATTGGAACTGACTCCATGGCACTTAACAACAACAACAATAACAAGGGGAAGGGTATGGTTAAGTTCATTATGCAAATGAATAAACTGAAGGCCAAAACCAATTCACTCAAGTAGCTTTGCCATAGATGGGATTCAAACACAAATTTCTTTTCCTTTTACAATTTTTCTCATATGAAGTTCTGGTGTGGCACTGTAGGATAAGCACTGGACTGCTAACCAAAATGTTGGCAGTTCAAACCCACCAGCTGCTCCTCGGAAACCCTATGTTATTTTGTTGTTGTTAAGTGCCGTCGAGTCAATTCTGACCCATAGCGACCCTGTATAGGGTTTCCAAGGAGCAGCTGGTGAGCTTGAACCACCGACCTTTCAGTCCAAACGGCTTTGCAGTCTGGCGCATTAGCCCACAGCGCCACACCAGGACTGTTATTTATTGTCCCAAAATTGTGTTTTCAGACAGTTATATATAGAGACAGAGGCCTGGTGTAGCCCATGAGTCATAACCGACTCCATGGCATTTATCAACAACACCAACATCTGTTATATATTTAAAATACATGGTCTTTCTTTCTGTCTCTGTTTTGGGTAAGAGATAGTACTGGTCTCTTTTGGGTGGCTTCAGTCTCCTACAAATCCACAGATGGTTTCAGCCTCCTCTCTCAGGATGCTACATACTGTTGTGCTTTGTGTAAGTTTGCTGAATTAAAACAATTGAGTTAGTTATTTAGGAAAGAACCAAACTAACATTCACTAAATACCTACCATGTATCAAGTTGTTGTTGTTGTTGTTAAGTGCCGTCGAGTCGGTTCCGACCCATAGCGACCCTGTACAGGGTTTCCGAGGGTGTAAATCTTTACGGGAGTAGAAAGCCTCATCTTTCTCCCGCGGAGCGGCTGGTAGTTTCGAACCGCTGACCTTAAGGTTCGCAGCCCAATTCGTAACCACTACGCTACCAGAGGTCCTTATCAAGTACTGTGCTAAAATTTTTCAAATACTTATTTAAACCTCAGAACAACCTTGTAAGGGAGGTATTACTATTTTTCTTCTTAGAGATGAGAAAAACAATACTCAGGAACTCCCAGGGGAACACAGTAGATCTGATATTTGAAATCAGGTTAGTGTGACTTTAGCATCCGAGTTATAGGTATATAATAATGTACACAAAGCCTGAGACAATACAAAATCAAATCATCACAGAATAAAGTAGGGTTGGACTATTAACTAGAAATGCATCTGGTTGCACATAACAACAACAACAACAACAAATAACAAGCGTCTTAAACCTAAAGGTTTTCGTTTTGCTTGTACATTAAGAAGTCTAAACATAAGTATGCCAAGACGATATAGGAGCGGAGTGATAAACCAGGTACACTTTTGTTTTTCTGTTTGATCATTCGCAGTAACTGGGTTTATCTTTATTTACAGTCAGAAAAGAGCTGCTGTCCCAATAGCCATCCCTTCTCCATTCAAACCAGAAAGGGGCAAAAGGAAAGGGCAAAAGCTGTCCCCAGCTTATTTAGGAAGGGAAACCTGCCCCTATATTTCACTACCAGGTGATTATCTTTACCTACAAAGAAGGTATTTCACTTAACATTTTGTTCAGTAGAGAAATCCAGAGGAAAAAGGGGTTGGCAAGAGTGTTGTTGAGTGAATCAATGTTAGAATCGGTCACAGGTGATTTTTTGCAAAGCATGCTTCCTCTTCACAAAACAGTGAAGACTGATAAATGACTGTTTTCGTAGGTAACAATGAAATATGCATCAACTCAAAAGTCAGGAGCTAAGTGAAGTCTTGATAACATGATATGACTTAATCACACTTGTAGGTCTTGGAAATACAGAGCTGTACCGAGCAGATCTCTGGAAGGTGAACAAACAAACATACCTGACAGCACAGACAAGAGAGTGGTCTTTCCTGCCCCGTTCTGTCCTAGAATAGCAGTGATATGCCCCTCATATAAGTTCAGACTCAGGCCTCTCACTGCTTCTTTGAAAGTATTCTCTGCCATAAAGATCTGTGGAGAAGGTAAAAATCACAAAATCAAACAACAAAAACTTTCTTTTTCATGTCAGAAAAACTTTCTAATAGAAGAATGTGATACTTCAGATGATTTAGAGATGTTCTCTCTAGAATACAAACACTTTAACTGCACACTGTAATGCTGAAGGAAAGTTTATGTGTCTATTCAGAGGTACCTCAGAATTTTCTTATGGAAAAACAGCACTTACCTATAATTCCCAGTAGCTCATAATATAGAGTTTAAACAAAAAGGCAAAGGAAAGATAGAGTAGGAATCTCATGACTTGAAAGGACATTATAAATAAACAAACAATTATTCAATATATACATTTTAAATAGATTCATGAATTGTATTTGAAAGACACACTTTTTAAATCTGCAGAAGAAAATATAAGCTAACATGATAAACTCAGGCTAAAAAGCACAAATAACTCTAACCCTATATCAAAACATAAAGCTTCTCTATAAAAGGTATTAGGAACAAAATGTTTTTTAAAGTTAAAAGACAAGCCATAAACTAGAAGTTATTTTTCTTCAAATGTTTTATACTTCATTGAGATGTATTTCTCATAACATAAAATTAATCCATTTAAAGAGTTTAGACTTCAGTGATTTTTAGTTTATTCAGAGCTGGGCAACCACCATCACACTCTGATTTTTGAATATTTTCAGCTGACCAAAAAGAACCCCTAATCTCATGAGAATCATTCCCCATTCCCACTCCCCCACTCAGCTTCCCCAGCCCTAAGCGACTACTAATCTATTTCTGTCTCAATGCATTTGCCTATTGTATATATTTCATATAAGTAGCATCATAATATGTGGTTTTGTTACTGGATTCTTTCACCTGTGTTGTACTCTGAATGAGTGCTTTATTCCCTTCTATTGATGAGTAACATTCCACTAGATGGATATTCATTTCTCCTCACTGACTATCTTGTTATCTGATATTTTGCATTTATGACAATAGTAAAATATCTACGATTCAACTATATTGCACTTTAACAACATAAACCTGGCAATAACGAATGCTGCGGCTGTGATGGTTAAGGTTTGTGTCGACTTGGCTGGACCATAATTCTCAGTGGTTTGACAGTTATGTGATGATGTAATGTGAACGTTACCTAATAATATACTCAGGCTCCATTTTGTCCTCTGGTGTGGTCATCTTCTTTTTCCCTGTATCACCAATTTTCCAATAACGGCCTGGTCTTTGGAACGTAATAATGTTGTTAAGTGAGGAGTAGATTCCGTTTGTTCATTTGTCAATGCTTGATGACATTTAGGTTGTTTCTACTTTGGGTCTATTATGGATAATGTTGCTGTGAACATTTGTGCACAAATATTTGCTTAGACACATGTTTTCATTTCTCTTGGGTAGATGCCTAGTAGTAGAATTACTGAGTCATGAGGAAACTCCTTGACTTTTGGACTCTTTTCATCTTGAAAGCTACAGTTGCATCACTTTGATTCTATTATTATATCTCTTCTGGTTCTGACTTCTCTGCCTCCAGATTTCACTTATAAGGATCCTTGTGCACACAGTCAGTCCCCAATTTACAATAGGGTTCCATTCCAATGCTTACTCCGTGGTAACTCGGTCTGACATAAGTTGAAGACTCCTTTTTTTTTTTTAGTGTCTTTATGACTTTTGCCTTTTGAAGTTGGAAACATCTTGCAATAATTTATGTGAACAGGGAAAGGTAAAAACATTTACTGCCCTCTCCACCCAGGAGACAAGCTAAAATGTTCATCGGGTTACTGAGTGGGACCAATCCTCTGGTTCCCTCCTGTCTTCAAACAGGTCTGCAACCTAACCTCTCCCCGATTTGGACCCCATGTAATTCTGCACTGCCCTATATTCAGGGATCAGAATCTGGAGAAATTAGCTCCTCTGAACCTGGCTTAATAAAATCTGAAACTCTGCTTCACCTCTCCAAGTGGCCTTGGTTTCTTCAATGACAGATCAAGAGCTGCGGTGACATTCTCAAATCTGAAACTGCTGTAACATATGTATTACTTTTTACTAGTGATAACATGTACAAAAAGACCCCAATATATATATGTGGTCAAAAGTTTGGTTTGTTGTAACTGGAATACATTGTAAATCAGGGACATTGGGCCACCTAGTTAATTCATGGTAATCTCCACATCTTGAAACCCTTAATTTAATCACATTTACTAAATCCCTTTTGCATGTAAAGAAACATATTCAAAGGTTCAGGAGTTAGGACAGCTACATCTTATGGAGTGGATCATTATGTTACTTAGTGTATATCCTATGGTGGTGGTGGTGATGTGCCATGGCATCAGTTCTGACCCATAGCGACCCTATACAGGGTTTCTGAGGCTGTAAATCTTTACAGGAGCAGAAAGCCTCATCTTTCTCCCACAGAACAGCTGGTAGTTTCGAACTTCTGACCTTGCGGTTCCCATCCCAATTCATAACCACTACGCTAGGATATCCTATGGACTGGAACATTATGCTACCTAGTACGTATTCTGTGTAGTGGAATATTATGCTACAGCCTGTCTTCTGGCTTGCACATCCATCCCACATGCAATATATTTTCACCCCATTATCAAACCCACTATAGCATCAACTCAGAGTCCCAAATTTCATTTAAAGTTCAACTCCAAAAAGTGCCAAGTCTCATACTAATAAGGTCTAAGTGAAACTATGGGTTTGATTCATCCTGGGGAAATTTTTTCATCTCTGGATTTGTGAAACAAGAAAACAAGTTATCTGGCCCTAAAATACAATGCCAGGAGAGGCATATGATAGCAATTATAGAATAATTCTCATTTTAAAAAGGAGAAAATGGAAGGTAAAAAGAAGTAATCAGACCCCAGCATTTTTGAAATACCATCAGAGAAACAACATTAGGTTTCAGAGTTTAAGAATAATCCTCAATCTATCATCTGGGTTTATAACTCTGCCCTTTGGACTTGAGATTCTGTTTTCTGAGTCATCCTTTTTTATGAAATGTGACAGGCCTTGGTAGTTGAATAGTTTACCAGTCCATTGCCTGCCTGTGAAGTGTTAGGTGTCTGATAGCCTTCTTTCATTTCATCCTTTCTCTGTCTCTTTCATCCCAAACTAGCAGGTTTCGGCTATACACGGGGAATTATCCAGAACCTTTGTACCCCCCATGTATATCACAGGGATTCACTCCATTACACAGGTGGCTCTACCGCAGATATTTTCTGGACAATCCAGTCTCCATTCCTGACTTCTGTTGAGATGGTTGAGGGGATTCATGGGTCACATGCTTAATTAAATTCATCAAGATGTCCTCTTCCAAAGTTCTAGCAAAAGGTTGTCTACCAGTAGCTTGTATTTCCCCAGCATGCTTTCCTACAGTGAATCTATATGTGATATATAAATACAATCATCAAACTAGGGAGCGAAGCAAACTTCTACAACATGATACAGAAGATGTGTGAAAAACACAAAGCTAACATCATGCTCACTGGTGAAAGTAAAGGAAAGTTTTCCCCTTAAGATCAGGAACAAGACAAAGATGCCCAACACAGTACTGGAAATTCTAGCCACAATAACTAGGTAATTAAAAGAAATAGAAGACTCACAAATTGTAAAAGAACAGGTAAAGCTATCAATATTAGCAGATGACATAATCCTGTAAGTAGAAAATCCCAAGGAATCCACACATAAAGCTTACTAGAATGAGTAAAAAATGAGTATATTTGCAGAGTAAAATATTAATATGTAAAAATCAGCTATGCTACTATATACCAGGAATGAACAATTTGGAAAGAAAATTAAGCAACCAGTTCTATTAACAAGCATCCAACAATATAATAAAATAGACAGGAATAAATTAATCAATAAAGTGAAAAACATGTAAACTAAAAACTACAAACCATTGCTACAAATGAAAGAATACCTAAACAAGGAAAAAGCCTTGCTGTGTTCATAGATTGAAGGCTTAAAATTGCTCGATGTTGCTGTATAAATCTTCACCCAAAACACAATAAAATATCTAAAAATAGTGTTTCAATGGCAATATATCCAAAGTGATCTATAGCGTCAACGTAATCCCTATCAAAATCCTAATGGCAGTTTTTACAGAACTAGAAAAATCTATCCTCAAATTCATACGGAATCTAAAGCTAAAACCCAAACCCTGTGACATAAAGCTGAAACTGACTCAGAGACCCTAGAAGACAGAGCAAAATTGCCCCATATTGTTTCCAAGACCATTAATCTTCACAGAAACAGACTCCCACATCGTTCTCCCTCAGAGTAGCTGGTAGGCTCAAACCACCAACTTTTTGATTAGTAGCCAAGTACTTTAGCCACTGTATTATCCTCTGTTGAACGTAAAAGCATCCCAAATAGTGAAACCGTTTCTTAAAAAAATGTTTTAAGAAAAGCAAGATACACAAATAGTATGATTTTAAATGTAAATTCATATACATACATTAAAACATCTTGGAATGAAATAAAATTAATGCATTAATAGTGGTTTTCTCTGTTAAGAGCATGGCTAATCAATATTTTTTATACTTTCTTAATTTTCAACAATGGAAATATGTTTACATTAAGAGGGAAAAAAAGCATTTAAAACAACACTTCAAGACTCATTGGGTAAATGACCCATGGAAACAGTACCTTGGATAGATTTTTGATTTGAATACCAGCCACCAAATTTTCAGGTTCAGGTTCAAATAATTCGGCATAATGTTTCTCAATACCTAAATGTTTCTTCCTCCTGGTCAAAGTGGATTTTGCATTCTCATTCCAGTAGGAACACTACGAAAAGCAAAATTTAGATTACTTCATTGTATCTTAATATGAGGGGGCTTTAAAAAGTTTGTGGGAAATCGGAATTAAAAGATAATGGAAAATTTCTACGCATTTCTTGAAGTGCCCACATATATAGCATCAAATTACTTTGAGAAATAAAAACAATATGATTTTATGAATTGTTCCTCCATCATTAACATAAACTCAGCTACGCTCTAAGTTTCCTAGCTAATCTTTGGAGTTTCTGTTGTCAACTGGAATTTCCTAGATAGTTCTGAATGGCTGCACAATGCTTACACAGAAGAATGTAATCAGTGTCACTGAAATGTGCATATAGAAATTGTTGAATTGGTGTATGTTCTGCTGTGTATATTCTCAACAACAACAAAAGCAATATGATTTTGTTTTGTGGACAGTGATAATCTAAATATTCTAAATATCTAATTCTAGATACAACTAGATGTTTGTTTTCTATAACCAATCAATTTTAGATTTGAGCTCAGAAATACAGAATTTTAGCTCTACACTGGACCACCATTCCCCAAATTTTAAAATAATTATTTGATTACTCAGAGAAATTTAGTATCTCTAGAATTCAGATCCAATTTCTTAGGCTATTTTGACAGAAAAAAAAGGACCTCTGGGCCTTTTAAAAATTATATATATTTAAAATTCATGGCATAGTTTGCATTCTCAGAAATAGTATTTAATTTTATTTCTATAGTTTTTATTTTATATATCTCAAAGAATAGAGATTACAATCTAATCAATCAGTTCAGTCTAATCAATTTCAGTCTAATCATCTAACTGGAAATGGTGGGTTTGAGTGGTGCTAACTGGCTATTTGATTCCCTTAATGGTAAATCATTGTAACTTTAAACCCAGAAAGAAATTTTATTCCTGTAAGATTTAAAACATACCTTGCCAAAAAAGTACCAAGGTTGAGGCACACCATAATCTCCTGGAAAAACAGCTTCTACATACCAGATTACTACAGCATATAAAAAAGCATCTGCCAACAGCATCACCATCACATGGCCAAAAGCAAAGTCATCATTAAGGTTGAATGGCTTTTTGAGGTTTCGCCATTTAACTCCAACTCCTAAAACATTAGCAAGAGACAGTTATTTTATATGTCAGACTTGATTAGAATTATCCTTAAGATAATTGACTAAACCAAGAATAAAAGTAAAGGTTGTTGTTAGGTGCTGTTGAGTTGGTTCCAACTCATAGTGACCCTGTGTAAACAGAAGGACGCACTACCTAGCCCGGAGCCATCCTCACAGCTGTTGTGGTTGGGGCCACTGTTGCTGCCCCTGTGTTTTGTTTGTTTGTTTTTAAGTTTTTATTGTGACTTGAGTGAAAGTTTATAGGGCATATCATCAGTTTTACATTCAACAAATCATACACCTTGTTTCATTACAATGATTATAATCCCCTCCATGTACCATCAGTTAACAGTATTTCTTTCTATTCATTTTAGCTCTTTTTTTTTCTTAAACACTCAGGCATATATAATAATTTACACCACCAAAGGGCACATTCTGCAAGTCTGCCTCCTGTCCGCCAGCTCTCAGTTTCTCTTTCCATGAAGCTAGAGTCCTCAGCTGCTCCCTCTCTCCATGTCCCCATCTCTGCCTCCATCTCTGGTGTCACTACTTCTCTGGCTAAGACCCTGCATTCCACTTGTGCTCTTCTTCCTTGATGGTCCTAGGGTCCTCTGTTCCTGGACTATAAAATTAACTACTCTCCCATTTTTTTTAACAAAACTTTTACAATTGTGAGGGTCACAATTAGTCATGATAACAATTACTCACTATAGAATCATAAGAATCTTATCCCCATTTCTTTTTACCAGACCCAACTATACAAGATGAAAACTATTCAGTGGGGACGCTATCTTTCCTCACACACTCTTAAACTAAACTCCCTCTTGAAACCAGTCACTTTGTGCCTTTATTTCTCCCTCATTTTAATTGCATTGATACTTGACATGAAGACTTCTTCCCTCTCTGTTGGTATTTAGAGTTACTACCTCTATGAGTATATGTCAAGTTCATCAAATTGTAGCAATTTACCCTCGTTTCCTTTATCAAAAATTGTTTTGTTTCTTTTTTTATCTTCCTCTAGTCGAGTTCTGATTATCAAGTCATCAAGGCTAGGTCAAATAGGTTCTATCTGCAAGCCTGGATGTTCTTGTGTGTCTCCCCTTACTTCATACCAGCTGATGCTTCATTCTCAGCTCTAGCCCTCTGTGGCTATGTCCTTGTCCATGGACTCAGGAATCCCTAGGTCTCACCACACTTTGGACCAACCAGCCCTTCCTCTTCTCTCTCATCTCCAGGTCAACGGGAGCCTATGGAACATGGTTGAACTCAGCCCTTTCTTCATGGCTGCCTTTCCCCCTCTTCCACTCACCAGTAGACCAATGTGGTTGTCAACAAGCTTACATGCCTGCTCATCTGTTCTCTTTGAGTTTCAGTTTTAGAGGGAGCCACTGTGTCTTTGGAGTCCTGGTGTGGTGCTGTGGGTTAATGCGCCAGATTGCAAAGCCGTTTGAACTGCAAGGTTGGTGGTTCAAGCTCACCAGCTGCTCCTTGGAAACCCTATTCAGGGTCGCCATGGGTCAGAATCGACTCAACAGCACTTGACAACAACTGTATCTTTGAGTGCCTTCCAACCTGAGAGCTGACTCATTTTCAGGTGGGATATCATGTCGTACTGTTATTTATGAGGTTTTCAGTGACTGACCTTTCAGAAGTGATCCGCTTCTACGTCTTCCTTGTGTGTCTTAGTCTAAATGCTCTGCTGAAACCTGTTCAATATGAGAGGCCCTAGTGTTGTTGTTAAGTGCTGTCGAGTTGTTTCCAACACATAGCGACCTGTATAGTGTTTCCGAGGAGCAGCTGGTGAGTTTGAACCACCAATCTTGAGAGTCAAACTGACCTTGCTTATCCTACAGCTTCAGCACCACACCAGGATTCGATGCGTGACCCTACTGGTACTGAAAATAGTGACGGCATAGCTTCCAGCACACAAGCCATCACAGTGCAGGAAACTGACAAGTGAGTGGTACTGCTTCCTTACTACTTTTTTAAATATTTGCTGCTATTTTATTGGAGTCCTGGTGTGGCACTGTAGGATAAGCACTGACTACTAATTACAAGAAGTCCTGGTGTGGTGCTTCAGGTTAATGCGCTGGGCTGCCAAGTCAGTTTGAACTGCAAGGTCGGCGGTTCAAGCTCACCAGTCGCTCCTTGGAAACCCTACACAGGGTTGCTGTGAGTCAGAACCAACTTAATGGCACTTAATAACAACACCACCTAATTACAAGATCAGTGATTAAAACCCACCAGCGGCTCCTTAGAAACCCTATACAGGGTTGCTGTGAGTCAGAACCAACTTAATGGCACTTAATAACAACACCACCTAATTACAAGATCAGTGATTAAAACCCACCAGCGGCTCCTTAGAAACCCTATACAGGGTTGCTATGAGTCAGACCCAACACAAAGACACTTAACAATAACAACCACAAGCTATTTTATTGGGTATTGCTTTTTTTAGTTTGGCAGCTTATATTTCAAATTATTTGTGACTTGAAATCTCAAACCCATAACTGCTCATACTTCATTTTGATTTTAGGAAGAAGGACTTACACAGAGAGTGCAAATCCTTTAACGGAAAAATTATTTTCAGTTATTGCTATTTTATTATAACATAGCAAAAACATTACCAAAGAGTGTGGCACTATGGATCAATGCGCCAGACTGCAAGGTTGGTTTGAACAGCAAAGTCTGTGGTTCAAGCTCACCAGTTGCTCCTTTGAAACCCTGTACAGGGTCGCTATGAGTCGGAGCACAGAATTTCCAGTCCCTTTGTCACTCCCAGAACATAATTAAGTAAATCAGAACAGCTGGTAGCTGCCCGGGATAGACCTTGACCCTCTCCCTTATTGCGTGCAATGCTGTAATCAATAGAGCCTATGGGGCTACCAATGGACCCTTCATTTCTAAGGTGAAGAGGGTGGCATTAGAAGACTGCTCCTGTTAGTCACATAGAGTAAGGATTACATGTAGTACCAGGAAGCAGCTCTGGGTTTGGGCTTTGGATTCCTCTAGAGGTGAATGCATATGAGTCCTGATGTGGCACTGTGGGTTAATGCACTGGACTACAAAGTTGGTTTGAATCACAAGGTCGGCAGTTCAAGCTCATCAGCCACTCCTCGGAAACCCTATACAGCGTCACTATGGGTTGGAACTGACTTGATGGCACCTAACAACAAACAGGTGAGTACCACTTACCTATCAGTTTGTATTGTGTTGGCTTATGTGTTGCAGTGTCCCTGATATTTTAAATGTCATCAGGGTCACCCAGGGTGAACAGGTTTCAACAGAGCTTCCAGAATCAGACAAACTAGAGAGAAGGAGGGGCAGACTATTTCTGAATGGTTAGCCACTGAAAACCATATAGCAGCAGAATACAGTTCTATATGGAACCCTGGTGTGGCACTAATGCTGGTGTAGGATAAGTACTGGACTACAAGGTTGACTTGAACCACACGCTGGTGCTTCAAACCCACCAGCTGCTCCTATAAAACCCTATACATGGTCGCTGTGAGTTGGAACCGACTTGACAGCACTTAACAATAATAGTCAGATATAGTGTTGGAAGATGAAACATTATGAATAGTAGGAGGACACTGTCAGGTATAATGCCAGAAGATGAGCCCCTTAGGGTGGAAGGCACTCAAAATACAACTGGGGAAGAGCTGCTTCCTCAAATTAAGGTTGACCATATTAACATGGGAGTCCTGGTGTGGCACTGTCGGATAAGCACTGAACTGCAACATCAGTTTGAACCACAAGGCCGGCAGTTCAAACTCACCAGCTGCTCCTTGGAAACCCTATACAGGGTCACTGAATTGGAATCAACTTGACAGCACTTAACAACAACAACATAATAGTAATAATAATAACACGAATGAAGTAAAACTTTCAGGACCTTCATTTGATGATGGGACACAACTCAAAATGAGGAGGAACAGCTGCATCCATTAATAAATAGAACACAGAAATGTACAAAGTAGGAATCTAGGAAAATTGGGGGTAGTCAGCAATGATATGGACTGCAGAAAGACTGACATCATATGCATTAGTGAGTGGAAACAGACTGGTACTGATCATTTTGATTGGATCCTCAATCAACACTCATGAAAGCAGCAGTCAAGAAATCAAATGAGGCATTGCATTAGGCAAATCTGGTGCAAAATACCTCTTTTTAAAGTGTTTAAGATCCAAAATATCAATTTGAGGACTGAGGTGCACCTGACCCAAACCATGGTATTTTCAGTTGCCTCATATACATGTGAAAGTTGGACAATGAATAAGGAAGACTGGAGAAGAACCATTTAACTTATGGTGTTGGAGAAAACTATTTAAAAAGCGCAAACAATCTGCCTTGGAAGAAATGCTGTCAAAAGGCTTCTTAAAAGGCAGGGTGTCTAATACTTTGGACATGTTATCAGGAGGGACCAGGACCAGTTCCTGGAGAAAGACACCATGCTTGGTAAAATGGAGAAGGATCGGTGAAAAGGAGGAAACCCCCCAATGAGATAAACTGACAGTGGCAGGAGTAGTGGGCTCAAATGTAACTGTTGTGAGGATGGCACAGGTCTGGGCAACGTTTCCGTCTGGTTGTGCACAAGGTCACTATGAGTGAGAACTTACTCCAAGGCACTTTAACAATAACAATAGAGGATCACATGCTCTCTCTTGAAATGGTTGAACATTAACCATTTCTTTTTGACTCTGTGTGTTCCTTCTATCTTCTTTTGATGCTTTCTTTCTGCATCATTCAATATTTTGCCCGTTTGCTATAGAAGCCTTCAATATTACAAATTGAGGCTTGACTTTTTCTTCAGTTCTTTCAGCTTGAGAACTGCTAAAGGTGTTCTTCCCTTTTGGTTTTCGAACCCCAGGCTTTTGCACATGTCATTATAATCCTTGACTTTGTCTTCTTGAACTGCCCTTCACAATTTTCTGTTCAGCTTTTTTACTTCCTCATTGCTTCCATTTGCTTTTGCATCTTTATACTGGAGAG